GTCGCCAAGTTCTTCCTTGTGCTTGCTGGCCTGCTGTTCCGTACAAGTTCGTCGAATATCGCGGAGCGGCTGAAACTCGTCCGGGAACAAATATGGGGTTATATTTGATTAAAAAAAAGAAGTATCTTTGTTCGTTATTTGATGCTGCGATTTTATATGTGTGTGTTAGAAATTGTATAGTTTTATGTATATTGGTGTATTTTCTGTGGCTGTATAATTTTTTAATGCGTTTTACTGTTGTATAAATAACTGTATAGTTTTTGTATTTTTATGTATTTGTTAGTTATTGTACAGTTTTTTGGATCTATTTATTATTATTGATTTTGTGGTTTCTTTGTATTAATGTATTGGGGGTTTTTTTTTATTGTTTAACTCAAATAGACTAATTTTTTTTTTGTAAAGTTTTTGTATCAATAAAAAATTGCTTTACAATGCATGACTGCTTATTGTGCAATTGTTGTTCAGCCACTGTTTGCTCGGTGAAAAACTTATCTGCTCCAGCGCATTTTACTCCTCAAAAAAACCTGTTAGATACGGTACTACACGTGGCACGTGTAAGATGTATTTATAGGTCAGGAACGGTGTCCAAAATTTTCGCATATTGCTCCCGCACTTACATTTTTGCAGCTTATCTTACAGTGCCATGAGGTTTTCGATCGAAACGAAAAGAGCCACTGATGTTGCTTCTGTTGCGAAATTATGCGGATACAACAAAGCCCCGGACAAAAAGAATCGCTGGGGTTCAGCAGAGCCCCGGGCAAAAAGAATCGCTGTGGTCACTCACGTTTTGAGAGTGCTCCTCAGCGATCTCGCACGGACGGACCTGGTTAAAGTAGACAGATTTTTTGCTCCACACAATAAAAGATGAAAGCTTCTGGCCCTTCAGAATGGTTTTTATGAGTTTTTATTGTAAATTTATGCGAAAACGCGTACTGGCAAGAGGTCGTCTCTGCGCATCTACGTGTGCGCGTTTTTATGTGTACGCGTGTGCGTATATGTGTGTGTGCGTGTGGGGGTATGTGTCTGTTTGTGCATGTCTGTGTGTGTATGGTGTGTGTGTTTATGTGTGTGTACGCGTGTGCGTATATGTGTGCATGCGCGTGTGTGTGTGTGTGTGTCTGTGTGTGCGTGCGTGTGTTCAACGAGTCTTAGCAAGATCATTGCGTGCTTGGAGCTGCAATGGGGACGAGGGTCTTGCGGCGGATGGAGGCGGGGGAGAGTTATACGGTGATATGTTTCTCATAGTGTTTGGTGGCGGGATTGGTGCTTTGGTACGGTAATGCCACGTGTCGCAAGGGTTTTGGTACGGTAATGCCACGTGTCACAAGGGTTTTGGTGTGGCGCGGTAGGGTTGGGGTTTCTGGATGGTTGTAACAAGTGCTGCCCCTGCTGCATTCCCTCTCCTGCTCGCTGAAACTCGGCTTGACTGGGCCGGAAGGCCAGTTGCAGTGTCTGGAGGCGAGGAAGGGGAGGGGCGAGTGCGGTAAAGGCTCCGAGGAAGGAGGGGTTTTGGTGAAGTATAATGGTTTATTCCTCTGGAGTGGTCAGGAGAGGGCGGCCCGTTCACTGGGA